ATTCTCAGCAACCACTGAGTCTGCTGTTTGAAACAGAAGAAGATACTCCAATTCAGAAGATGTTCCCAGCTGGCTCACATTATAATAAAAATGTTTAAAGTGGTTCCTTCTGTAGATGCTCTTCTTTGTAGCTTTGGAATAGTTTCTCAGCCTCCTTCTGCCTTCACTGTTGTGTCTTTGTTCAGATAACAACCTTTCACAAAGTTCTCTACAGGATTTCTCACCCTCTTCTGATCCATGGGCCTGGAACAATGGATCTCGAAATACCCTGGAGTGCCTGAATGAATCATGTTGCATTTGTTTCTAGGAAGCTGGGGAAGTATCTTCATCTGAAGGTAAAGACCATAGGATCTCAGAAGCCTTTGGGTACAGTCCCTTCATTTTAAGGTAAAGAAGTTGATGGCACACTGTAGTGTTGATGGCACACAGAGAAGTTGATGGCACACTGTAGTGGCAGGAGGACACGGAGCAGGATCTCTATGATCCAAGCAGATGGGATAAAGGAGAAGTGTCCTGGAGCCCTCAGAGGCTTTTGCGGACTTTTATTGGGATTACCAGGCACACAGCAGGCAGGGGTGCTGGGGGCCGGGAGGCCTGCCAGCCTGCTGGCCCCCAGCATGTCTTCACTCTATCTGGGCTCTCCAGCCTTCACTAGTGGTCTCTGCTTCTCTCTGCTCTCTCTTGTAGTTCTTCCATTTGTTCTGCTGGCGTCCCCATGACGCCGCCCTTATAAGCCCAGTCTCTCAGCCCAGAATCCCATCTACACATGCCCACACCCTACTCCAGGTGCCCGCCATCAGGCATGCATTCAGGACTGCAAGGATCCATCATCAATCCTAATGGCGGGAGGGCAGAAAAGCCTGATACTTTTTCACTTACCCTACACGCACCCTGGAGATCAGGTGTCGGCTGTTTTCTCTTAGCACAGCCTCCTCGTGAGGTCTCCCTTGTGTTTGGTTCTAATCAGGTGTCGGTCTATTCAGAATTTAAGGTCACTCAATCAGAATCTAAGCAAAATCTGGTGGGATTACTTCCATAAGAACATGGCGCAGCTCAAAAAAATATGGTCCAGCTCAAATAAACAGCAAATAAAATGACATAGCAAAGCAACTACTTAGCAAAGAAACTCTACAGTTACAGGTGGGGAACTGCACACCTACAGGCATACACGTGTGCAGAGGTGGAGAGTTGGGGGTGCCAAACCACAAGCCAGAAATGCTGCTGGCAGATGAAAACAACCCCGAGCCAAGAGGAGCAGGACAGTGGGCAGTGTGTGCACAGGAGCCAGCTCCTGAAAGGTGACCAAGGTTTCAGGATGCCAGATTCCCAGAAAACAACAGACTGAGTGTAGGGTAAGGAAAAATGTCAGGCTTTTCTGCCCACCCGCCATCAGGATAGATGATGGATCCTTGCGGTCCTGAATGCATGTCTGATGGCGGGCACCTGGAATAGGGTGTGGGCATAGGTAGATGGGATTCACCTGGGCTGACACTGGGCTTTTAAGGGCGGCGTCACAGGGACACCAGTAGAAGCCGAGAAGAAGCCAAGAAGGAATAGAAGCCGAGAGAGAAGCAGAGAAGGCCGGAGAGCCCAGATAGAGTGAAGACTTGCTGGGGGCTGGAGGCCTGCCAGCCTCCTGGCCTCCCAGCACCCCTGCCTGCTGTGTACAGGGTAAATCCCAATAAAAGACCTGCAAAAAGCCACTGAGGACTCTGACTCCTCCTTTACCCGGTCTGCTGGATATTAGAACTGCACTGTGTCCAGTCCTGCCTTTACACTGAGGTTGAAGGCATCCCTTGTGTATTTGACCGGTTTTGGCAAGCAAGCACAGGGCAGGTTCTTGATTCAGGCAGATGGGTGGAGAGTCCTAGAGCCCTCAATGGCTTTTTACAGGCTTTAATGCTCTTCTATGCCAATTGTAGTGGGGCAAGCCCAAAGGCTGGCAAGGCAGTGAGGCTGCGGGGGCCAGGAGGCTGGCAGACCTCCCAGCCCCCGGCAAATCTTTACTCTTTCCCTCTGTAGTCACCCACCTCTCATAGGTGTTCTCTGCTGCAGCCATCCTCTGAGTGACGCCGCCTTTATATCCTCAGTCTCCAGGCCCAGCTGTGCCCACTGACGGATGCCCACACATGCCCCAGGTGTCCACTATCAGGCACACATGCCCGGAGCCCAGGCTCTCAAGTGCTTACTGCGTTAGCACAGAGGTGATGCCAGAGAGGCCTGAGGCGTAAAAGCTTGACCAAGCTTCATTTACCATTTTAGGAAATTTTAAGCTACAGACCATTTTAGGAAAAGTAAAGCATGTAAAAAGATCAGCTGTACATTTTCAGTTCTATACACTGTGCTGTTTTGACATTACCTTAAGTCAGTACTCCATTTACACAAATTTTATGCAGTTCAGAATCCCCTGCAAACAAGCAGTGCACTTGGAATCAAGTTTTATTATCCATAGTTATAATTTGATTTCCCCTCAAAACATAAACATACCATTATGTTGTGTTTTTAGATGTCAATCTCTTACAAATTTTTGCTGAAGAAAAATGTCTCTTGAATGTGAATGATCTTGTACCTTACTTATTGCTTTAAACTGACTAAAATAAACACTTAAAGTTACATTGCTAAATATTTGTTTAGCTGTGTTATTTTATTCATTGTTTATTTTAGCTGGATCATGTTTTTTATGGTTCCAAGGGTCCTTCAAATAGAATAATGGCATTGTTTTTTCTGGGTAGCTTGAAGGAAGGTAAAATAATTCATACTTTGAATGACTCAGTGTCTGAATCAGCTTGGGTGTTATATCAAGTAAACCACCAGCTTATACAACAGACATTTATTTCTCAGAGTTATGGAGGCTGGAAGTCCAAGGTCAAGGCACTGGGAGATCAGGTGTCTAGTGAGTGCCCACTTTCCAGTACATATGTGGCCATTTCTATCCTCACATGGTGAAGAGAGATCACCTCACATCTCTTCATGAACGAGATGCTACCTGAGGACAACCTCTTTGTGATCTAATCACGAGGCCCCACCTTCTAATCCCATTACATTGGGGATTAGTCTTCAACATACGAATTAGGGAAATACAAACCTTCAGTCCTTAGTATTCAGTTAGTCAAGAGATAAATTGAAAGAAATGAGTCCACCTATGAGGATGCACAGTTGGATTGAAGATTTAATGTCACTCCAGGTAGAAGGAAAGAGGCTGTCTTTGGGGGTGTGGTGCCCTGCACTGCAACCTGGCAGCTGTGCTCAAGCACCAATAGAGGTGGTTTATCCTCCCAAACACTCGCCCCTCTGGCCTGAAGTAATAAAGCATGGACAGGTCACAGGGAAGCCCATATGGTACCTTACATGGGGTTGGGGGGCTGGGGGCAGGGATAGAGAATGAATGTTCTGTTTAATTTTGGAAATGTGAAATTTAAACTAAGAGACCCTTTAAAATGACTCCTTCAGATGCCTTGCTTGTTCAGACAAGGAAGAGGATAGGAACTCAGATGAAATGTTGAGGAAGACCCCAGTAAGTTGACTATTAGGACCCACTAACATTAGCTGTGATGAAACATGAGCTTTATCTCCCCTAATTGCCACATATTTCTCAATCTCATTCAACAGCTCATTTAGTCTCCCACCCATTCTGTTATTTATAAATACTCTAGGAAAATAAATGACTGTCCAGGTGATGAATCTAACAAAATGAATTCTGGAAGTTGAGCCAAGTCCTGGTATCTTTTATAAAACATGAGGAAAATCTGCCAGTGATACTGCCTCAGTTTCCCCATCTGAGAAGTGAATTTCTCCTCTCTGTATTTACTTAAAAAGAGTTGGCTATTCACAACACGCATGCCAATAGAAAAATACTACATTTTCCAATCAAATGAAAAGATTCTGTAAATAACACTGCTATGGACTTTGGGGCTCAGAGATACCAGTCTCTGGCTAAAACAGAAAAATTATTGATAGTCTTTGCAATAAAGAGAGACAGCTTTGCAGAGAGACAACTGAAGAGGAAGAGAATGAAAGTGGTCTGTGTGTAAAGTTAAAAAATTAAAGTAAAAGCTCAGCTTTGGTACTTTAAATCTTTTTTTTTTTTTCCCTTGAATAGCAGTAAGCAATGTTTACACCACTCGGAGATTTTTCTCTGCTCTTAGAGAAGCAGAAGTAACTGGTAAGCTTAGTGCAGCTCCAAGGGCAGGTCACTGCTCCACGGGCTCTCACAGCAGGCTGGGCCTCTCGTCTCTGGGCCTCAGCTCAGCTGGGGCCAAGACTGATTGACTGATTGATTTTGTTTCAATAAAACTTTATTTATAACCCTAAAATTAGAATTTCATGTAATTTTCACACCACAAAGTCTTCTTTTATTCCAATAATTTAAACACATAAAACCCATTTTTAACTTACAAGGCTTACCAAGCAGGTGACTTGGATGTGACCTGAAAATAGATTTTGACCCTATTTTTAGGTTTTTAAATTAAATACTTTCTTTTAAGTAAAGATCTTTCATCCTTTCTAGACACTTGAAAAACTTATAAATCTTCATTTTGAACGAATATTATATCCTCTTTTAAATATATATATATATATATATTGTTTTCTTCACATAAATATTTAAATAAGTTTTAACGATTACCATGTAGAAGTTTTAAAAGTAAACTAGCTAGGGCCTCCCCGGTAGCGCAGCGGTTGAGCGCTGGGCTGCGAAGCTGCCTGCAGCCTCTGCAGCGCAGGTTCGATCCCCAGCCGCTGGCGAGGGTCCCACATGGCGCGCAGACCTCTCCTGCCGTGCCCACTGCTCCCCTCAGCAGTGTCCTCCGTCTGCCTGCCTGCTCTGCTCCCCACTCTGACTCTGGTGAATTCTCTCACCTTCCCACACTTCTGACTGTACCCAGCGCTTATATAAATAAATAAATCTCTCTTTAAAAAAAAAAAAAAAGTAAACTAGCTAAATTCTAAAGATAAGAAACCATCTTTTTGCTACAACTCCAGAAATCTTAGTATTTAAATTTTTTAAATTTTGAGCAGGTTAAACTAACGCATGTGAGTATAATGAAAGTCTATTTGGATGATCTTTATAACTTTTATTCATTGATAATATCATTTATTTATTACTAGAAGATATGGGCCTTTTAGTTATTTCTGTAATTAAACTTTAATAGAAATATCAAGTATTCAACCCTGAGTGCCTTTCTCTAACACACTCTGCACCTGAGTTTACTTTTTTTGATTGATTGCAGTAACATTTAGCAGTGAACTTAATGTAGTAGATACACAGGCTGATTCTCAGTGATGCACATGGGACACTGGGACTGAGATTTACGTAACAGGGAGGGCCCCTGGAGCCTTACCAGGCACTGGCTGGCCCTGGGGTCACCCCCTCTTCCTCGGAGCTCCGATATATGGAAGCATCAGTAGGCAGTCTTAGCTGGTGTCTTTCTAACCATGAAAACACACAGAAGAGTCTGGGAAGATGGGAGTCAAGAATAACACAGCAGGAGCCATGGTCTGGTGGGTTCGCCGAGCAGAGAGAGACCAAGACTCTGGGACAGAATTGAAACATTCCCCACACTGACCTCACCTTCTGAAGCCACCGGGTCTGGCAGAAGCATGTGGATGTCATTCTGCCTCTCAAATGTTCCCACGGAGGGTAATGATGATAAACTGTTTTCTTAACTCTGATATCTCTCCAAGTGCTGAGTATGCTTCCACACTTTGTGAAAGTCTGCTCAGGAGTCCCTCCTAATTGGAAAAAAAACTGCTGAGAAGCCCACACAAAAGCTTCCATTTAATTGGGTCTCACATCTAAATTTTACATTTCTCTGACTCAAATCTTCCTCTGCTGTTTGGCTCAAGTGCTCCCTGAATTCTGACTGTGTTTCTCATCCAGTAAGGACAATCCTCCCTGAGCCTCAGCAACCTGAGAAGACCAAGCAGAACAAAGAGGACTGTGGAGGACAGCAGGGAAGCAGGCTCATGTTTCCCTGCGAGTATGAGCAAACTTCACAGAGCGAAGGGTGATATTCACTGACTACTGAAGCCTCACTGATTTTAACCTTGCTGTATAGGATCAAATTTGTCTGTGTTCTGGAACCAAAGCACCTGCCTCATGCTGACTTCCCACCTTTGCCTGTTTGAGATGTGGAAGGCATTGAGATTTTGTAGGCATGTCCATACTTGTTGCTGAGAACGTAAAACTGACTCCCGGCATCAGGCTGATGGACATGCCAATGCGGCCAGAGCCAACTCTGTCACCTCCTATGGAACTGTGAGCAAGTAAGGACCAGAATTATGACAAAGGTTGAAGCATGCCAAGTAAAAGATTCATCATTCAACTGACGAGCTCTCCAGCCCCCAGACAGGCCAGTAAAAAGCATTCACATGGGGTTGTCCTGTTTATTAAAAGCACTTAGCTTACTGGAATAAATAGGAGACTACCCATCAACAAAGTCAAGTGATTCACAAAGTCCTCAGAAAGAGAGGGATATCTGGGGTGCAGATTTTCTATTTTCAATGTTCTTTTGAAAGAAACAAGTGAAATGTCAAAGGCAAGATATTACAACAGAAGAAAAACCTCGTCTATGACGGAATTTTTTAACAATGATCAAATCTACCTGCTGTGGATGACCCGAGGCCTGGGCTCCATGAGATGCCCCTAAGGCAGAGGTTGACCTCACATCTGGGGAACACAGCAGCGCTAAGAGATTCCTAAGCAGTACTACAAGGCAAAAAAAAAAAAAAAAAAAGGCAGAGTGACCACACTTGGCCATTTCCACAGAGAAAATAAATGTGTGGCACCTTCCTTTAGCAGAGTTACCTACAGTGGGCCATGAGGTGGACAAGCCAGTGGGCACAAGATGTAGACTTCTTGCTTTGGGCTAAACCTTTCATACCATCTTTCTCTGCTGTGGATGGGGTGTGGGGAGGCAGGAGGAGGAAGTGGAAGCTTCCTGCCCCTGCCTTTCTCAAGCAGACATCAGACGTACACACACCACCAGTTAGATCTTGAGGAGCTGGGTGCCAAGTGAGGCACGTGCAGGCACAGGAATGGTGCCCCATGTCCCCAAAGACTGTGCCCCAACATGCCCTCTCCATTTAAGGCATTAGTGTGCCCTGGCCATTCCCAGGCCTAAAGCAGTCTCTGAGTCAAAGGGGTGCGTGGCCAGATAATCCTTGTATTCCCCATCCAGCAGCTGGGCTGCATTCCTGGTGAACCAGCAGTCTATTTGCTCTTCCCCGTTGTAGATTTTCCTTTGTTTCCAGACCACTGGGACTTGGTGCCCTTTCACCTTTAAGACGGCCTCTGACTTCTCGCCTGACTCAGGGAGTGAGGGGCTGGGGCTCATAAGGTTTTTGCTGGTCTGGACACGTGTCTCAGTGAGCTGGGCATCCTGGTTCAGGAATTGACCTGAGAAGATGAAAAAGCATCAGAGGCAGAAGTCAAGTGTAAGGAACACTGCTGAAAAACAAATCTAACTTCAACTTCTATCCCCGAGACCATGCACTTGTGTGTCCGGAGGAGGGGACTGTGTGTGGTAGCCAGCGGGCGGGCTAGCCTGCAACCTCGGTGGGACTCTCCCAGGAGGCATTCACACCCTGTCCAGCATCTGTGGTGGGGCTTGCATTTGGATGGCTGGAGAGCAAAGCCCAGGTCTTAGTCACAGCAGCCTCTACTTCTGGGAGTGGCCAATGCTAACACTAGAAAGCAGCCTAACCACAAATAGAGATAACCACAGTCTCCTGCAGAGCTGGGAGGACAAGATGAGGGTAGATAAACAGAGACGAAGGAACAGGTCCTCCCTTTTCCTCCTCTGGTGTGGGACCTATCCAACTGTGCATATAGTGGGAATGAGTGGGTTCATTCCAGGTACCCATCGTCAGAACCCCCAGGTCAACAAGGGCATTGCTAAGGCCGGAGGAGCACTGCAGTGTCTGTGAGAGGAGCTTGGGTTTGGCAGTCAGGCGTGATATAAACCCAGCCAGCTCAAGTGCCAGGAAATCCTGCTTTCTAAACCGAGCTCTGGCAGTGACCAGCTCTCCACTTGTGGGCAAGATGCCCGCATGAATTTGCACATTGCAGAAGGTCAGGCAGAGGGGATGGCCTGCAGCTCAAAGCAGGTGGGTGACCCCTTAAAGGGATGTGTTTCTCAAGAGTGGGATAGGGGTGTCCTTCACTTGCATCTTGTTGCTGAGAGATTAGGAAACAGGTCTGAAGAGGGTTATTCCCAGCACCTTCATCTGACTTTCCAGAAGGCCATGAGGATTAATTTATAAAGTGCATTCAGAAGACAAGATATATAATTTATATATATGCAAAGGTGCACATATAAAGACCACATTGCTAATGAATTTCCTGATCAAGCTAAAGATATTGGCAATACAAGCTTCATAACGGAAACTGAGTTCTAACCTCTGAAGCCAGCATGAAGAGCAGATGCCTACCTAAGAGCCCATGGCAGTTGCTAGAAAGGCCTTTGCTGTTGGAGATGTAGAAGCCCAGGTGGTTTCGCTGGTAGGGTGCTGGCTTTTTGTAGAGGTGAATGAGGATGACAAAGGCAATGGTGCCCTGGATGGTGACGGTGACATTGGCATTGGCAGACACTGTTACCTCCAGCCCCCGACTCCCAACCACTGCACTCTGGTTGCAGGGGAGGACCAGCCTGTCCCCACCATCCAAGATGACTCTGTTAGGGGTGATCTCGAGATAAGACCTCTCAGGCTTATTGATGAGGATGGTGATGGTGCGGAAGTAAGTGCGCTGTTTCTTGTGGCCATTTGGAGGAGCTGGGGCCCCAATTAACTCTCCATTCACTGTCACACCTAAAAGACGGAGGAAAAGAGTGCAGTGGTTAGAGAAACAACCTGACTTCATGTCTGAGGAGTCTAATCAAATTTCCCTGCTCCTCTGACCTGATCTTTTTACCACCAGCACCACAAATATCAACCCTTGCAGGGGCCACAGAGTACCTAGTGAAATAATGAATGAATAAGTACTTAAGTCTGAATGAATTTTTCTCCATGTTTGGCCAGTGTCTTAGGGTAAGGAAGGTTAATGTAGCTTTGGGTTCAAATCTCACAAAAGGGGATAAACACTTTGTTCATGTCCATTCCAACACCTGGTTGTAGAGACAAAAAATCTTGTGTGACTCTAACACATATTTCTTATCCATCAGTTGCCATGGATACTGATTTGGAGATCCTGTGATGCCATGAGCAGAGTGATATAATGCAAAAATTAGATTTTATTTTACTCAAAACACTCAAATTCAGGCCTCCCTGGTGGTGCAAAGGATTAAGACACAGCCTATGGGGCTGTCTGAGGCCACTACAGCATGAGTTTGATTCCCAGCCAGTGAGCTGCCCACATGGCACAGCAGACCTCTCCTGGCTTGCATGCTGCTCCCTTCAGCAGTGTGTTTCGATCAATCTGCCTGTTCTGCTCCCCACTCTGTCTCTAATGAGTCCTCTCACCCCTCACACTTCTGGCCTGTACCCCCAGATCTTGTGTGTATAAATGGATAAATTAAAAAAAAAACACTCAAATTCTTCCATGTTCTAGGTTTGTAACCCTAAACAAGTCACTTAGAAAAATTGGAAATCACAAATGAAACAATGCTCATTGTCACTTCTCATCAGGGAAATGCAAATCCAAACCACAAAGCGATAACACCTCACACCTGTGAGAATGGCCCATGTCAAAAAGATCAGAAATAAGTGTTGTTGGGAGTGTGGAGAAAAAGAAAGCCTTGTGCACTGTTGGGAATGTAGACTAGTCCAATCCCTATGGAAAACAGTATGAAGGTTCCTCAAAATATTAAAAATAGGGCCTCCCTGGTGGCACAGGGGTAAAAGACAGAGCTATCAAGCTATCACCAACCACAGCAGCAGGAGTTCAATCTCTAGCCAGGGAGCAAACCAAAGGCACAGCAGACCTCTCCTGTCATACCTGCCTCTTCCCTCAGCAGTGTATTTCAGTAGATCTGCCTGTTCTGCTCCCCACTCTCTCTGGTGAATCCTCTCACCCTCTGCACCTCTGGCCTACACCCCAGTTCTTGTATGTATAAATAAATAAATCTTTAAAATATGTATTAAAAATAGATCTACCATGTGATCCAGAGAAGCAGTATGGAACACTACTCACTTATTAAAAAAAAAAAAAAAAGGTGAACTCTTGCCATTTGGGACAAGATGAATGGAACTAGAGGGATTATGCAAAGCAAAATAAATCAGAAAGAGAAAGACAAATACCAGATGATTTCATTCATATGTGGAATATTTAAAAAAAAAAAACAAAAAACCCTTGAAATGAGACACAGCACTGATGCAACAGAAGGAGAGCCTGGAGGGTGGGAAGAAATGGCCCCATGGACTGGGAAGGAGGATTAGGGGGGCTTTAGAGGTGTGAACTTGTATGCCTGAAACATGGACAGTGTTGCCAATCATGGTGACCTCAGTAAAAACAATTTAATATATAGGGCCTCCCCGGTGGCGCAGCGGTTGAGCGCTGGGTTGCGAAGCTGCCCGCAGCCTCTGCGGCGCTGGTTCGATCCCTGGCTGCTCCCCGGCCACCGGAGGATGGTCCCACATGGCCCGCAGACCTCTCCTGCCGCCCGCTGCTCCCCTCAGCAGTGTACTTCGGTCCTTCTGCCTGCTCTGCTCCCCGCTCTGGCCCTGGTGAATTCTCTCACCCTCCCGCGCTTCTGACTGTACCCAGTGCATGTATAAACAAACAAATAAATAAATAATACATGCCTCTTTAAAAAAGTAAATTAATTAATTAATTTTAAAAAACAATTTAATATATAAAAAGAAAAATTGAGATTCAATTTCTTCTTCTATAAAATGGGGGTACAAATCCTAAGAGGATTTTGAGGCTCATGGGAGGTGGCATGTATACAAGCTGTCAGTCATCATCAAATAGAAATACTTTTGTTTTGCCTTCATCATCCTTCACACAACCACAGTTTTCCTTGACTTTCGAGGCCTGTGAGCCAGACCCCAGGGTTCCATGCTGGCTGCTGAAGAGCTATCGAACAGACAGCAATTGCACAGGTGATATCTGAGACTGAATCAGGTGGTGCCTGTTAAATGTGTTTTGCTCTCAGACAGAGGCCATTCACAGTCATAAAAGATTGCTTTATAATTAACTCTTCTTTTCTCTGCTTTGGGAATTATCTTCCTCTAAATCTTATCAAGCAGCTTCGTAGACATTCCAGGAGAAAAGTGCCTTCCCTGAAGCGAGGGATGGGGAAAGGAAAACTCCCAGCCTGAGCAAGGATTGGGTACTTCAATCTCAAGGCTCTTGGGACTTTTAATAGAGATTCCCACCATGCTGAGCAAGGAAATGGTCAAAACAGTTCCTGGAGGACAAGCACTTCCAGGAAGGGATTCTCCATCTCCCTCCTGAGTCCTTTGAATTAGAAACAAGTTGTGCGCTAGCTCAGAGCTAAGAAGCCTCCCAAGAGAATGTCGTGGGAAAGAAGCTCCAGGAGCAAACATTACACAATCACATGTCATCTGACTGTGGAGATTTCAATAATCTCGGCCTCCACCAATTCATTTCTCAGAACTGATCAATTCCAGAATGTCTATTCCAAAGCCTGTCCTCACAATGCTGGGCTGTGTGCTGTTCACAGGGCCATCCCTGAGGCACCATTACTGCAGACAATTTGAAGACATTCTTATATTGGGTTAATAATTAGCCTACCCCAGCTGCAGGGGTGGCGGGTAAAGGAAAGGTGAATATTAATATCAACTTGTGAATCTTAAACTGTTTGATGGATGTGATTCAATTTATTGAATTTTTATCTAAATTAATGCTTCATGTGTCCACTTTAGCAAACAGAATACACTTTTAGTAAAAAAAAAAAACAAACCCAAGAAAGCATTTTTATATATGGCACACGTTATTTTATGGTGCTTAGTTTTACTGTGCCTCGTAGATATTGTGCCTTTTATGAATTGAAGGTTTGCACAACAATGCATCAATCAAGTCTATTGGTGCCATTTTTCCAACAGTGCAGAAGAGGGCTAGCAATAAAAGACTTTAAATTAAGGTATACACATTTTTCAGACATAATGCTATTGCACATTTAATCAATTATACTATAATGTAAACATACTTTTACATGCACGGGGAAACCAAAAAAAATCATGACTTGCTTGTGGTGATACTGGCTTTATTGTGATGGTCTGAAGCCAATTGCTCACTGTCTCCTGGGTGCAGCTGTACTAATCTCTGCATCCAGTCCCTCTACAGACAGAGGGGCTCGGAGTCCTTTTTACATCCATGCTCACTGCAGGACGAACTGTGAAATTAACATCTGGCTTTAACAGATAAATCAGGGAGGAATAGAGATAGGTGAGTTGAGGACTCTATCCTTCCCACCATCACAGCTTTTGAGTGGAAAGCCATAGTATATAAAGAATTTACAGGGCCTCCCTGGTGGTGCAAGGGGTTAAGTCGCCACCTGTGAAGCAATCCGTAGCCACTGCAGCACACATTCCATCCCCGGCCAGGGAGCTACCCACATGGCACAGCAGACCTCTCCTGACTCACCCGCTGCTCCCCTCAACAGTGTATTTCGGTCAGTCTGCCTGTTCTGTTCCCCGCTCTGTCTCTGGTGAATCCTCTCACCCTCCCGCACCTCTGGCCCGTACCCCAGTTCTTGTATGCATAAATAAATAAATCTTTTTTTTTATAATTTAATTTAATTTTATATAAATTTTACATCATTCTTCCTTTTCAGTATTTTTTTAATAATAAATTTTATTTTTATATTCCCCATACAATTGCAGCCCCCCCATTCTGACCCCAATCCCTCCCCTCCCACCCCCGCCCCCCTAAAAGTGTCTCTGGTTCGTAGTTTTTTGTTGATTTTGATTTTCCCTTTCTTATAGTTATTCGTTTTCCTGGTCCCTTATTTAAGTTTTCTAGATTCCTGCTATGAGTGAGACCATCCGGTATTTTTCTTTTTCTTTTTTGGCTTATTTCGCTGAGCATGATCCCTTCCAGCGCCATCCATGTTGCTGCAAATTGCATGTGTTTATCTTTTTTGAATGCTGAGTAATATTCCATGGTGTATATGTATCACATCTTCTTGATCCAGTCATCTATTTTTGGGCATTTGGGTTGTTTCCAAAGCTTAGCTATTGTAAACAGTGCTGCTATAAACATAGGGGTGCAGGTGTTCTTTGGAATTGATGTTTCTGTGTCCTTTGGGTAAATACCTAGGAGTGGAATTGCTGGATCATATGGAAGCTCTATGTTTAGTAGGTCCAGAAATCTCCACACAGCTCTCCACAGTGGTTGGACCAGTTTGCACTCCCACCAACAGTGCAGAAGAGTTCCTTTTTCTCCACACCCTCGCCAACATTTGTTGTTGCTAGTTTTTTTAATATGTGCCATTCTCACTGGTGTAAGATGGTATCTCATGGTAGTTTTGATTTGCATTTCCCTGATGACAAGTGATGTTGAACATTTTTTCATATGCCTGTTGGCCATTTGCATTTCCTCTTCAGAGAAGTTTCTTTTTAGCTCTTCTGCCCATTTTTGACTGGATTCTTTTCTTTGTTGTTGTTGAGTCTCATCAGCTCTTTGCAGATTTTTGTGATCAGTCCTTTATCATTAGTGTTGGGTGCAAAAATGTTCTCCCAGTTGGTGGGGTTTCTCTTTGTTTTTGTTATTGTCTCTTTTGCTGTGCAGAAGCTCTTTAATTTGATGTAGTCCCAGCTGTTTATCTTTGCCTTCACTATCACTGCTTTGGGTGATGTGTCTGTAAAGATGTCTTTGATGTGCAAATCACGTAGTGTTTCGCCTA